AAAAAAATAAAAATACAAGTGAATTGCACATTTCAAGTATTGAGTCAGCAAACAACATGGCCTGGATGGCAGAATTCCAAGATTAAACTAAAGGCTCATCTCAGATGTGCCAAAAACATCTTGATGATCCCAGAGACTTTTGGGAAAAGCTGAGATTGAATTAATGTTGATTTTTCATCCAAATCATCATTAAATTTCAAGATTGAAATCTAAGTGTTAAATAAATGCTGAATAAATGTGTGAAATACTGGTGGAACCTGACAGTTGTTCTGTTGTAACCGACGATCTATTTATAACTGTAGTTATGTATTTATGTTTTGGCCAAGTATTAAACATGTATGATGCAACATTATTTTGTAATGTTACACACATTTGTGTTTAATGTTTATGTAACGACTTTATTGTTACTTGCCTCACTTTTTTGCAAAGTAACCTTGGTTCCTACCTCGTGTTTACGGAGGGAGTGTTTATGGTGTGACGGCCCCTGTGCCATGTGCATTGAGGAGTCAACAAAGTAAAAGCTGAGTGCACACTGTCCTGTCATGTTGGTGTTTATTATGGAAAAGCATTTTTAAGATGAACTGTAGTCTGAAGTACAGCCACAGCCAAAAGAAACCAGGTAAGATCACCACAACCAGAAACCAAGGTTACATACTTATAGTTGACCATGTTTCAACCACAGTTGAAACATCAAACATGTTCAAAAGTCATGGATTTATAGCTGACCATGAAATGAAACCCATCATCAGTGGGACTGTTCTATAACAGCCCTCTGAAAGTGGTACATCCCATCTGTCCACCACTGAAAATACTGGGAACGTCTAGTGAAATTAGGTTGACCCAGAAATTCAGCTATAAAGCCATTTATTTAAATTTGGGAAGTTAGGATTTATTTTTGAGTGGAGAAAATGAGAAAACCACTGCTCAGCAAAAACAACACAAAGGCTCATCTCACATCTGCCAAAAACATCTGGATGATCCTCCTCAGAAACTCTTCTGTGGATTGAAGAGACAAAAGCTGAACTTTATGGAAGGTTTGAGTCCCGTTACATCAGACATCAGACTAACAGGATTTCCTAAAAAACACCTCACAGCAGCAGTCAGACGTGGTGTGATGGTATGGGCTGCTGCACTGCCTCAGGATGAATTCTGCTCTCAGAAATCCTGAATGAGGATGTCCAAGCATGTCCTCAAGAGCACTGAGGTTATGCAGAGAGACAAGCAAGTCCAACTCTGAATGGCTCAACCAAAATGAAGGTTTTGGAGTGTCTGAGTCAAAGTGTAAATCAGATTGAATCAGATCAAGTTTATTTGGGATGAACTTGAAAAACCTCTAATGTGTCTGAATTCAAACAATTCTGCAAAATAAACACGACCAAAACTCCTCCTCAGTGATGTGAAAGACTCATTTCCAGTTCCTTCATATCTTCATTTGTGGAAATGTCACGGAGCTACATGTTACTTTCCTGGTTTTACCTTTAGGTGGTGCTGTTTGTATTTGTTCCTGTGAAAGCTGTAGCAGTGACAGACTTGGTTAAATGAAGGTTTATTTGGCTTCATGAACACACGATCAGATTATAGAGCTCATATGGAGTCATGACACAAACATGGTTTTACCTGCTTTTAGTGACAGGCTTTGTAATTCAAGCTGAGGATACAATGGTGCGATACAAAGATTTACAGCACATGAAGCAGAAACATTAAAACCATCACCTTATCTGAACTAAATACAACAAACATCCTGCTACAGTTTAATAATGAACCAATCCAGCAACAATGAAGGAAGAAACCAAGATGCTCCTGACTCTGGTAAAGGAGAGGACATGAAACACAGACTGCTCTCTGCAAATGTCTAAGCTGCAGGTAAAAATCTGTTGGTCATTTTCAAACCCAGAGACTGTAAACACTGAGCAGAAACACAGAGTTCACCCCAGAAAATCTACATGTGCAGCTAAGAAGTGACTTTAGCTTTAAACTTTAGTGTTTTATACAAATAAAATTAAATGTCTCATTTTTCCTCTGACTGACCCACTCGTGCTGCCCTCCTGTGGTCATGGCTGCAGACATGCCACAGTCTTCAGTCCTTCCCCCTGAAGCCCACCTCCCATAGCACACTACATAATCAGTGACCCAAAGCCACAAACGTGCAGCACAGCTGTACTGCAGTCCCAGCCACACGAAAGGAGTCGAGGCATTTTTGGCTCTTTCCTGGACCCATCGCTGCTCCTCAGGGTTGCTGATTGAAACCAGGTCATGATGTGTCTGTCTGCAGTAATTCAAGGCTTTCTCCCAGGTTTGGTTTTCCCTGATCAGAATCAGTTTATCTGCCATAAAATCAGAGAAAACATTAAATCAGTAAAATCTGGACTTCAAGTCTCTGGATGTTTGGTCCAGTTTCACTGGAAGAACAAAAGAAAACATTTCAGTGATTCTTCAGATGAATCAGCAGCTCTACAGAGAAATCTCTGTTCCAACCATCAGCTAAACATCTTCACCTGCAGAAATAAGTGGCTGAAGAAACATACTGACCTAAATCCTCTCAGAGACTCCAGCAGTTCATCTGTTGGACAAACAGCTGAGATAAATCTGTGTAAACTCACCATCATAGCAGAAGAAAGGCTTTCTGTGGTCACATCCAGCAGAGCTCCATCTTCCTGATCTCTCTAACAGAGTCGTTGCACATTTCCTGTTGTTTAGTCCATCATTAAATGAGTCCATGTCCCAGTATCTGAAAGAGAAGTTACTCCCATCTGACCACCTCCAGCTGTCTCTGAACAGGCC